ACTCTCTCTCTCTCTCTCTCTCTCTCTCTCTCTCTCTCTCTCTCTCTCTCTCTCTCTCTCTTTCTCTCTCTCTACCCCCCTCTCTCACACACAGAGAACACACACATACATATAAACACATACATACACATATACACATATACACAAATGCACGAACATACACGCATTCACGCATACACCGACATGTTCAAGGTACGCTGCGGAGATAGAAAGACACATTGATTAAAGAAGGTCGGGGTAGCCTGGTTTCAGAGGTAGTTAACCGTCTAAGTCAGGTGACTCCTAAAGCTGCAGTATTCTTGAAAACTGCAAATTTACAATTTTTTGGTGTCTTACATAAGGGTTTTTTTCCAGTAGTATCCACACAGAAATGTGTTTTTAGAAGAAAAGTCAAAGATTTTGAGGGACAAAAATTGTCCAACAAGTTGAAAAGTGCGTATTTTTTTATTTCATTATTTTGAGCAGGGCTTGATTTTACCACGCTGCCGCACATTTTTTTCATTCATTTTTCTCTGCCTTTCTGTTGGTCTCTCTGTGGTGTCTGTGGACAGATCGACAGTCTGATGTCCCCGGCTTTCAGTACCATCACCTGGACCTCGCTGGAACTGACCGCTTACTTCAAGGAGCTAGACAAGGCCTTCAGTGACATCAAACTGCTCATGAAGACGGTGAGGACACGTTGAAAATGGCGTCGGTGGCCGAGTGGTTTGGCCCCGGACTCGCAACCGTAAGGTAGAGGGTTCGAATCCCCTCAAGGGCCCGACGTTTTGTCCTAGGGAAAGACACTTTACACGAATTTTCCTCACTTCACCAAGGAGGAAATGGGTGCCCAACTATAGACAGTGAAAGATCTTGTCATAATTTGTTACTGTTTGAGCGCGGGAAATCCACAGCTAGCATTGTATTCTTCCCAAGAAGCCGAGAATATATCTGAGTGTTCTAGGGTCTACTGAGGTAACAGTTTTAAAAACGTATAGCCTTTGAGCGTGGATATGCGCAATATAAATCATCATCATCATCATCGTTGCCTTTCTCACCCTGCACCAGAGTATAGGCAGGGGACAAACACCTTCCACATTTCTCTATCCTGGGCTTGCCTCTTGATGTTATTCCATGTCTTCCCAGTTTTCTGTATATCGATTTCTGTGATTCTTCTCCACGTTCCATGCGGTCTTCCCCTTGATCTCTTACCCTGTGGATTCCAATCCAAAACTTTCTTTGTTATGCAGCTGCCTGACTTGCTATATAAAAGCATTTATTATCATTATTATTATTATTATTACTACTACTACTATTATTATTATTATTATTATTATTATTATTATATTATTATTATTATTATTATTATTATTATTATTATTATTATTATTGTTATTATTGTTATTATTATTATTATTATTATTATTATTATTATTATTATTATTATTATTATTATATTATTATTATACTCACGAAGACGATGGGAGCTTGTTGACCTTGTTGTACCCATGAAGATACTGAGGGTACAGAAGATATTGAAGGTGTCATATACTTACAGAGCTAACTCAATAATTTGTTGATCTAAAGCCTCGGAACGCAAACAATATTTTTTAAAATTCTGATATCACTAAATGGCATAGTGAAATGTAGATTATCTGTAGTGGTGTACTTTTTAGTAATAGACATATTTGGATAAGTTGATTCGTGCCTTTTTCCCCAATGGTATAACGCAGAACTTTGGGTTCATAATTCTGGATGGTCCCTCAGGCAGGTAGATCCAACTTTAAAAAAAATCTTTCTGTTGTTTCTGTCTGTCTATCCAGCGCTTTTCACAAACTGAGGGCTACTGTATCGCTCTCTCTCTCTCTCTCTCTCTCTCTCTCTCTCTCTCTCTCTCTCTCTCTCTCTCTCTCTCTCTCATGCGCGCGTGTGTGTGAGTGTGTGTGTGTGTGTGTGTGTGTGTGTGTGTGTGTGTGTGTGTGTGTGTGTGTGTGTGTGTGTGAAAGTGTGTTGTGTCTCTCCCACCAGGTGTGCGACATCAAATACATGCGTGTTGACGCCAAGCTACACCAAATTTCGGAGACGCTGCTCTGTTTTTTACCCGGCGAGCCGCTCACTGTCGATGATTTCTTGCAAAAGACAAGGGTAGGTATATGCATGTGTGTGTTCAAGTACTTGCATGATATGCCCGTGTGTGTCTGTATGTGTATGTGTGTGCGTGTGTGTGTGTGTGTGTGTGCGTGTGTGTGTGTGTGTGTCTGTGTATGTGTGTTTGTGAGTGCGTGCGCCTGCGTATTTGTTTATTTGTGCGTACACAATAACGACGAGATTTGTGATACGCCTGAAAGCTGTTTCGCCATGGATGGGTCACCATCAATATTTCCGTCCTCAAGAATCGGTCTTGCACGCATTCCTCCAGTGCTCCCGAAGATAGTAGTAATAAATTCCCCATTTGCCAAGGATAAGAGCATGTGCTTGGAGGGTGCCCCTGGTAAGTCTTACTTATTCACTTCTCCACTTTCTTGCTTTTGTCTTTCAACCTTGCTCTTTTCCTTGCACGAAATGTCTGTCATTGTGCTTTTTTTCTTCTTTGTAAAACGTAATTCGTCTATGAGGGTGGTTGGTGGGTGCTCTAGTGTGGTTTGTTCCTTCTTTCCAGCTAAACATCTATCATCCACATCTCTCCTCCTTCTTTTTGTGTTTGTTACTCGCTTGTAAACTCTCTAATTTTCGTCACTTATATGACCTTTTGGTGTTGCAAGTGCTGTAAAACTCTTACTAAAAGTAAACCAAACTAATACTAATGTCAGTAAAAAAGCTGTCCCCGCATTCGATCCGGACATTGAGGGTTACGTTGTTAGTGAGACAACATCCTGGGCCCTTGACATACTGCAGTAGGGTGGCCAGTTCCTTTCCACGCCGCCTTTACTTCCCTAACTCGAAGTCAGGTACCCCTTACTACTGGGTGGGCAGGAGGGAGAGAAAAAAATTAATGTCCGAACCCAGGCTCGAACCCTGACTTTCCGCTTCGGAGACGAACGCACTAACCGCCCGGCATCGCATCCTTTACTAATATCAGTAATGTCTGTTTTTGTGTGTTTGTGATTTGTGATTGCCCTCTGCCTCCTTCTGCGCGCCCAGGATACGACGTGCTCTGTCGCGGACAAGCTGAACAAGTCGGCCCATATGGTGTGCGACACGGTGCTGGAGCTGTTGAGGATATTCGTGAACCAAGCCTTCCTGGAGTACCGCACGCTGGAGAAAGTCTACGCCGACGAGCAGAGGATAGCTGACCCCTCCGGTAACCACCCACGCCTTGTCTCCTGGTCAATTTGGCAGTTTCGTCACTTTTTGATTCGGAGTCGAGGGTGCACAGCACGCGAAGCCACAGTTCTGGAGCGCTTTAAAACCTTCGTTATTCATACAGATATTTAAATTCTATTTTCTACATCTTAAACTTTAAAAAGCAAACTACAACAAGCATACCATGCAAAAATGCAAATTCATGTTTCTGATTAAATTAGTATAGTTTGAAACGAACCACAACGTAGACTACATTCTGCTGCTGACCGGAACTGAAAGTACTCTCCGTCCTCAAACAGTTAACCACTTCGCGGCCTGGTCTCAGATTGTCCAGGGCTCTAAGTTCCACAAAGGGTTAATGTCTCTTCCACAAAAAGAAGATGCCAAGACGAGACCCCTGAGTTAAGATCCTGTTCTGATGGGGAGGGATATAGGCTATTCGAATCTCTCAACGAACTAGACTTATAGCCTACTTTTAAAAAATTAAAGTACTGCCGGTTTGCCATGTTTAACCAGCTGATGCAGTTGTGTTTTATAAGCTCTAATGCAGGTATTCTACACCATCAACACAATTTTTATGTATTCCTCGATCCTGCTTGTCAGACCAACCCAAGCTGAGAGTGATACATGGTCCCAGCAGAGAGACCGAGACACTCAATAAAAGTTCTCCTCACGCAGGACTGAACTCAGTCTTCTGCGTGTGGCAGCAAAGAGCCTTACCTCAACACAGTAGATTGAAGCCTTTAGAAAGAAAAGATCGGGGCAAAAACAGCCAACCAAGAACAACCCCCCCCCTAAAAAAACTAACAAACAAACAACCCAAAACAACACCAACCAACCAACCAACCAACCAACCAACCAACCAACCAACCAACCAACCAACCAACCAACCAACCAACCAACCAACCAACCAACCAAAGAAACAAAACAATCGTCCAGGAAGAGACGTGATTGTCTGAATTATGTAGAAAGGGTGTAGAAGGATAAAAAGAGAACCTTTTTTTGGGCTGAAATAAAGGTATAATATTACTGATTTTTGTTGTTTGCAAATGCCTAGCACTTCATTGGAGAAGACAAGTCTGATACCGTACCCGCGCGGTTCTGAACGAAAACTGTTTCAATGATATGCCCCCCCCCCTTTTTCACGTTTTATGGCTTTGAATGTGTGAAAAAAGGCGCCTTGTGGTCCACTCTATTTCCAGATATTCAAGAACTGAATGGCTTGTATCGATTCAAACCTCCTATCTACCAATACCTGTTGCGATATGAACTCGTTACTTGAACACAGTAAACAGTCTTCTATACAGATAAATAAAACTCCCTTACTCGCTAGTATGGTTGATTGGAATTCTGAATACAATCGAACCAGCTTTAACGACCACCTGCCCAAGGCAACTACTTGTACAAAGGACCTCTACCTATACCCTCCCCCTTGCTTTTCAAAACATTATAACGACATTGTTCAAAGTGAAAGCCTGTCAAAGACAATCATTCTTGTCCCCAACAATGATTGGTCGTCTTGGACAATTTCGATTGTATTTGCATATAACACAACCATCTTTGGTTTGACCTGTTCAACAGTGTGGCCTGATACCCCTCAAAGCGTCACACTTAAAGAGTAGTTGATGGGTGCTCTGGTGTGGGCTGCTCCTTCTTTCCCATCGAGCATCTGTCTGTAGTCCTTATTTCTCCTCCTGTTCTTTGCATCTTATTCTCCAGTGACACCTCTATATTCTTTGACAATTATATATGACTTAACTGAGCTGTAAATTCTGTAAAACTGTTTTAAACTAAAGTTAAAACTAAACGTTGCCCTTTTACTGTGCCGGCCAGTGCGCAAGTCTATGAACGCCAGCTACACCATGACTGCCATAGCGTCGCTGACCAACAGCACAGAGCCAGACCGGAGTCCGCTGCCCGAAGACCTGATGACCAGGGAAGCCTACGTGACCTCGTGCCTGGCGTTGTTTGATGACTTCAAGAACAGGATGATCGACGCTCTGCTCAAAAGTGTCCGCTTTTCTCTCAGCTCCCTCCGGAGGAGATTTCTGGCCAAGTACGCTTTGTAGCCACCCTGTACGTCTTCTCTTCCTTGTCTAGCTCATCAACTTCTTTCTTCCTCCTCGTCTTTCTCCCCTTCTTCCTCCTCCTCTCTTCCTCCTTCTGTCCCCCCTTTTTCCCCTCCTTCCTTCATTATATCTTCCTCATTCCTTATCCTCTCTTCCACCCCTCTTTCTCCTTTCTCTATTGTACTTCTTGTCCTCTTACATAAGGGAGACACTACTAAGACTACAGAACTTTTAAGGTACAGCTGAAATGCATTTTTGAGTGTTTTCCTGGAGACAAAAAAAGAGGGGGGGGGTTGCATAAGAGTATTCTGGTGGACTCTTCAAACCTTCAGTCTCATGTAGGATCATACAAGATCAGATTGGGGTCTCAGAATTCAAATTAGTCGCGTACCATGGGCGTTGTGTCAGTGGACATTGATATAACATGAGTCAGGGTAAAAAATGTAGGGAGCCGAACAGATCCTCCACGACCATTGTTTTGCTATGATATCGTGTGTCCACCTCAACTCCACTAATGTCTCCCATTGTTTAGAGTGGCGTGTCTGTTTCAGCTATTCTGAAACGTTTTTGTCGGTTTTTGGTGGGTGCGCTGGTGTGGTTTGCTCCTTCTTTCCTATCAAACATCTATCGTCCATACCTCTCCTCCTTTTCTTTGTAAGTTACGCTCTAGTAACACCTCATATCTTCGGTACTTATATGACTTAATTTTATTGTAGGTGCCGTAAAAAACTAACTAAAGCGAAAATAGCAACAAAAACACAACGAGATAAACGAGATATTCTCACCACCAGTAATGTTGAAGTTCTTTTTCTTGAAAATGTTCCTCTCTACTACACTGTGAGTGTCTTTTCATCTGACCTGAATACTGGAAAATGTTCAGATAGCTGAAATATACTTTGTACTTTCTGCCCTGTGTTCAGTTCGAGTAGAAGCAGCTCACAGGGCGTGGGCGGGGCTGGAGAGGACGACAACGTCGGAAAGAGTGGGCCCTTCTTCCAGGTGGACATAGAGCTGGCCATACCTGCTGTTGTGAGTGCTTCGGTTCTGATAGTTTGTGGATATACCTACTGTGGTTCTTGGTCTTGAATTCATAAGAAAAACGTGTTCTGTAGGAGCACGGGGGGAAAACCGTTTTCTGTCGGAGTACGTTTAAGATAAATGTGTTTTTACTAATCAAAATTTAAAATTTATTTAAAAAACTAGGCACATTTTCGTTTTAATATTTTGTCACATGATAGAAATCAATCTTTACTAACGATTTGTGAAATAAAAAAAAAAAGGCGCAAAAATGAAAAAAAAGTGTTTTGTCGGAGTACGGCGGTGTTGTGAATACTTTGGTTCAGATAGTAGGTGGATATACCTACTAGTGTAAATACTGTGGTTCAGATGGTTGGTGGATATACCTACTAGTGTAAATACTTTGGTTCAGATAGTTGGTGGATATACCTACTAATGTAAATACTTTGGTTCAGATAGTTGGTGGATATACCTACTGCTGTGAGTACTTTGTTATAAAAAGTGATGATAATGGTAAAAGATACTAATGATAAACAAAAGTATAATTATTATCATTCTCTTCATTATTACTTTATCGTTACTTTATCATTAGGATAACTATATATAATAATGCTAATAATATTGATGATGACAATACTGATAACAATAGTAATGATGATGATGATGATGATGATGATGATGATGATGATGAT